GGAGGGGGGGTCGGTCTTCGTCACCCCACCCAAAAAAAACTCCATAAAAGGACAAAACTTAACTTTAAAAACAAAAACATACAGAGCAGTTGCGACTACAATTAAAAAGGACTGCGTTGTTATAAACATCACCGAGATTTGTGTAACATGGTAATTCGCTTGTGCCCCTAGTCCAACCGGGTGCGCTCGTGGCCTAGAGGTTAAGGTGTTTGCCTCTCATTCAAAGGCCCCGGGTTCCAATCCGGGTAGCGACAGAAAACAATTATCCTCTAAAATTGTCTTCTTCCCCCTACTTTATTGTCCTCTAGCAATGTTTTGTCGTCTGCTTTCGTCTCCACTTTCTGCCCCCACCCCCTCCCCTCCTTTGCCCCCTCCTCTGGGCTCCTGACTCTTTCTGCAGCCATTCTACTGCTACTCCTCGGCTCCTTCTTACTCTTGTCTTTCAGCCACACCCCTGATCTTCCGATAGAAAATATCTACACCTAGCCTTCTCGGACAACGGCGAAAAATCTCGGAGGTCCCCGCGTGCAAGTTGTGCACGTTAAAGATCCCTTGGTGATCTAAAATCGATGAGAGTAGGCTTCGGCCGCCACCCAGGCAAAATTCAAAATTTCCTACCAACTGAAAATACATGTATTTAGTATGTTCCGCGCGCTCATATGACAATGACCTTATGCAGTTGCGAGCGCCGTAAAACACTTTTTTAATTTAAAAAATAGTACAACCAGAGAGCCAGAGACAGTCACGGGCCAGGCAGTTAAAGAGTTAAAGAGTTAACAAAGTTATACGGCAACATTCTAAGCTCGGGATTTGCTTTTAATAAAACTGTCTACCGATACAAGCATGTTGTTGGGGCGCACGTTGTGACGTGCGGTGTGATTTGTGTGAATGAGCTGAGGGGAGATTGACGTCCCCGTCGAGGGGAATGAAAAGAACATAGGACGTACTTGGACAATGAGGCCAACATCTTCCTTCTCATTCCTTCTCAGGCTATTTCTATAGAGGGGCTCGGTGTGAAGGGGGAAAACCAGCGTGTGGCTACAGTGGGCGTTGTGGGGGTTTGGAAAGGCGAACTGATGAATCCACCC